AGTTGGATGGCCTTGGCGTTTAGTGCAGGTAAATTTTGAATAAGATCTAAAATATAGTTTTTGAAGGATTTGTGCTAATGCTTAGTATAAAATATGTATGATTCTTTCTGTACTGTTGAGTATGTGCATGATCTGTTGGTTCTTAAGTAAACGTGTGAGGTTTTGCAGAACTAGAACCTTTGATACAGAAAGGAAGAGCTAGAACCAACAGAACTGTTTGTGTTTTTTTTTTTTTCCTCTTAAAATTGTGTTGATCCCTTTTGATGTCAGATAAATACATTTTTGTCACTACAATTTTTCATTTTGTTACTATCCCTTATCTATTTAGAGTCTGTATTTGCCATGATTTATGTCAAGGTTCTCTTCTAAATGGTGCAGCTGGTTCACAGTATTTAACATAGCAGAGAACCTGGAAGACACAGGGTCGAGACCCTGTTGTGCTAGGTGCTGCTTAAGGATTTTGAATAAAAATGTCTCTGTCCCAGAGACCTCACACTTCCTTTTTTGTTTTAAAGAGGCATAACCCCTTTTGGGAAAAGGGGAAATAATGTCACCATGCAACTCTTCTCTGTTATAGCAGCAGGGCTAGTCATTTAATACCTTGATTTATAACAGTGTTGTAATCTAAATAGGAAGCAGGTGGAGTTACAACTGGGTATGATACTTTGGATATTAATGGCTTGGCTTGGCAGTGGAATTCTAAAGCTGGATATACTTTTTCTGTCTTAATTATGCATTCATTAAAAGCTTTTATACCCAACAGAATAAAGTAAATATTGTTTGATCTCTGTAGTGTGCTCCCAGACTGTAGATTTGCACAGCAGGGTCTTGATAATCTGAATAAATTGTATTTCCCCAAGGAGTTTATCTTTCAAATAAGGTCATAAAGAAATGCATTCTTTCCCCTTAGTTCTCCTTGTGCTTTTTCTGCTATTTATAACATGGAGCAGAGGAATAGAGGTATATTGTAGTCTGCTGTGTATTTGGTTATGATTAACTCTAATTTATCAATCTGTTACATCCTTTTCTGTGGCTTGTGCAAAGCAATTATTCTTTAAAGTACAAACGAATAAAGATAGATTTGGAAGTAATTTAAATACAATGTTTATATCTATTTTTCCTGTTTGACAATTTATCATATCTCTATATGAAAATGCACCTCTGTTTTAAAATATAGACAATGTCACATCATTTATTTTGAGTATTTAATATTGTAATCTTTCAGATTATGTTTGTTCAGAAAAATGATTTTTTTTTTTTATGAGGGTTTTAAATGTCAGCTCATTGTTAATTTGGTTTGGCATCTAAAGGTTGATACTACCGAATCTGAAGACCAGTAGTGTAGAACAATGGATTCTCTTACCTCAGAGAGGGGGGAAGTGGGGAGATGTGTAGTAAGTAGCGTGCATAGGATCAAAGATAGTTTCTCATTTTAAAGTAGACACTGATAAATAATTTGGCCAATTTATTAAATTGCTCTGAGCTTACTGTGAGATTTTATTACTCTTTCAACTGTTAGTTGTAAGATCTCTATACATAATCTTATACATATTTTCTTAGTCTGAATGTGTTTCAGCAGCGTAACATACATCATATTAGAAGAGATAGGATCGCTACCTTTCCCTAATTCTCTTCAGCTCTTAGTGACAGTTCTGCTTCTGTTCATATTTCATCCTTCAGTTCAAAAAAGATAAGTGGCATATATTTAAAAGTTTATAAAAACAAGATTAAAAGTTTCAATAATTTACATAAGCTTGTTGCGTGTTGCATGTTTTTAAAGATATACTGCAATACAGTATTGGAAGAAAGTTGCACGTGACTTTTAAATTTTGTAGCTGCACTTTTAATACAACGCAATAAAATTTGTGGAAAACATAGGCTGCCAGAATTCTTATTCATGACCACACTTAAATTTGATTTCATTGTAACCTGTTTAATTTTTTTAATGACGTTTTTAATTCAGTTAAGAATATAGTTTGAAAATCTCTTCAAATCAGATTGAGTTGACAGTGATTGTTTTGATACTTCCTGTTGAATTTTTTTTAAAGCCAGAAGGCAAGGTGAACATGGTTTGGTTTGGGTTTTGGTTTGGTTGGGTTTTTTTGTTTGTTTATTTGGGGTTTTTTGTAACTAATTTACGTACTGCACTTCAGTCTGATGTTTCTGAACATCTTACCACATATGAAAAGTCAGGTTATCTGATCTGTGGTATACATCTTGCGGTCTCAGTGTGACTTTTTTTGGTCTCTAGTATCGTCACAGAGACGGTAATAGACAGTACTGTATAATACTTACTTGATTATTGGTATGACAATCTGATAATTTTCATTTGTAAAAGCTCATGCACTATTTGCTGCTATGGCTGTGAAATACAAACCTGTAGAGCAACTCTAACTAAAAAAACCCAAATGTTTCTTATTAAAGGCCAAGGCTAGTTTTAACAAAATACATTTGCAATATTTATCAAGCAGTAAGCTGTAAGTCCAGCAGGTCACTAACATATTATGTTAGGCAAAGCATCAAAAATCCTCTGAAGCTTACCAATGAAAATAAGTAAACAAATAAGCCCCCATAATAAATAAATAAATAGACATAAATAAATAAGGATCTGAAATAAGTGAAAACTTATAATAATAAATAATATTGCAAATAAACAACTGTCAAGAGATTATCCATCCATAAGTATATTTGGCCTCTTCAACTGTATGACAGCTTTCAGAAAAAACTTCAGTTGGTGTTGATTTGAGGGGGTAGGGAAGTTTGGGGGATCATCAAAAATACCCAAACCAAAAACGAAGGCTTACTACTGTCTTTCAAGTTTCACTGAAAATGTGAAGATTTTTTTCAGCGGAAAACTGCATTTGTGTGTCGTATTCCTGTTTCTCTCTAATGAGGAAAGATTTTTATTGTGTTATCTCTAGTATTGTCATCTTCTGAAGTCCACCAAAAGCCATCTGTCCTTCTCCACTGACACTTAGTGGGGTTTGATCAGACCTGTATTCTAGCTGGGCTGTTGATCCTCAGATCACAATGCTTGATTATTTATTTGTTTACCTTAATCCTCCCCAGATATAGCTGTTGACAACGAAAAAGCTCGATAAATATACACCGAGCTCTTCTAAATTTCTTTCTGGACGTTTGGCATTGATTCAATTAGGGATTTCTTTGCAAATATAGTTTTCCAAACCAGGGACAATAAACCATGGTGGCTGCTTGTCAAGTGCTGTGATGTTTACTTTGATTATACTCCTTTGCGTTGTTGCCACCACTGCGTGGCCATCACAGGAGTGGTGGTGTGAGGTACCATCTGTGATCTGCAGATACTAAATCACTGAGCAAGCACACAGACCAGATACTTCTCATGTAAAATTCATTCTCTTTCTTTCCGCAATTGGGGAGGATTTATCCTTACCTCCTTTACGTTACTGTGAAGAGAAACTGACACCAGAATGTATGTATGTGTGGCTTTTGGGATGCTGGCTGTTAGTGCTTGTTCTGACAAGGTGGAGAACTTTTCTTTGTTCTTGCAAGAAAACAATGTGAAACGCCTCTGCGGCAGTTTAAGTAGATCATGAATAGGGTTTATCTTTAATAGACAATGCTGCCAGGGAAGGTGCACTGTTCAGACGGGGAGCTTATGTAGCAAGCAGGAGCCTCCACAGGAATGTGCTTCAGTTTCCTCCAGTACCGACTCCTCTAAGCAGGTGAAAAAAATTCTTTCTCCACTCTCCATTGCATATGCATAAACAGCTCCACAGTCATTGGGACAGCCACCCGATTCACACCTTCAAGATGTAGTCCATAAAACATTCCAAAAAAACCCCTCTTCGCACTTTCCCATCTTCCCTGTTGCTCTGCTCTATCTGCCAGCCGTGCAGCTCATTTGACATTTACAAGATTTCTTGTCAGTTTCATTTGGTGCTGCCATTCCATCCAGCAGAGCAGTGAAAGTGAAATTGACTTAATTTAGTCTGTTTCTCTTTCCTGCTCCAGTCCCGATGTTAACTAACCAGCAAAGTGAAACTGACAAGACTTCTTGTCATTTCCGCGCATGGAGCTGGTCAAGGAGAAGGCAGCTGATAGGGAGCAATGCGGTAAATTGGAAGATGAAACCCAGGATTGCGAAGGGGAGAGGGGGAGAGGGGCGAGCGCACAGCAAGAACAGAGAGAACGGGTAAACATGCTTATATTTCCCACATGTCCTGGGTTCTTTTCTCTAATACGGGTGAAATCTTGGCCTCTCCCCTGAAGAGAGCAGTAGGCCTTAGAATAGCAGTAGCTAGCTGTCCAGACCCTAATTTACAAGGGATGCCAAGCTGAAAACCTTAGCCTGTAAATATACGTTATCTGTTACCAGGATGGAAAAAACTTTCTGCCCGGAGTTCCCGTGTCTTTTGTCTCTGAAGATTTTCTACTGCTAGGAGAGGGAGAAAGACTAAGAGGCCGACATCAACTATAGGTTGATGTCAGTGGTTGGAAAAAAAGGCTCTATTTGTTCGTTGAAGATAAAGTTATATGTAATGTAATCTTGTATTTTGTGAGGTACCATGGAACTACAAGTTGTACCACACGGGTGCTCTACCTCAGTCACAACAGTAAATAATGAACAAGCAATTGTTTTGTAACAAACCATCCTAGTTAACAACTACATTTGTTTTAATCCACTTGTTAACTCCTGCAAGCTCTTGTCACACAGTGTAAATCATGGGGGTTTATTATATTATGTACTAATCCATATTTCTTACAAATGTTTTATGCATATATAACCTTAGCAGTTGCAATATAAATTAGTACTATCATATACATTTGCATATGCACTGGTAACATTTACACATACATTTTGAATGAGGCTGTGTTAATTAATTTCAAGTTATATTGCCTTCCTTCTCCACAGCTGCAAACAAACAATCTTTTCTCATTATCTGAGACCTGTGGGGGTTTTTGTTCTCTGTTTTGTTGTTTTTCTTCTGAGACGTATTTTGTTTGCTTCACCCATTTAGGAATTAAATAGTTTTAATTACTTGGACCTCTATAAGCTTGCGGACCTCTTCAACCTCACTTTGTTGGAGAACGCAGTGGTTGACTTCTTAGTAAAACATCTCTCTGAGCTATTGAAGAGTCATCCTGAAGAAGTTCTGGCACTTCCATACTGTCTCCTTCGAGAGGTTTTTAAAAGTGATAGACTCACGTCACTCAGTGAAGAACAAATCTGGCAGGTAAGGAGATTGGTGAACAAGCAGAATGTGTGATACTCTGTAAACCATATCAGTAATCTGTTGTTTTGAAACCCTGGAGCAATCTCAAGGGAGAATAAGCACTTAAGCAAAAACTGTGAATAACAACTGAGGGAAATTTTTAAATGAAATTCGAAAAATGCTGTGTTGTGTTAATGCAATTAGTTTGTTTGAAAGAGAAATTTGTTTTACTGCTGCACTTGTGTTACTCAGATATAGCTAGAGATTTTCTTCCAGATCCAACTTCGTCAGTGGGAAGAGACGGCCAATACATGCAACTCGGTTATCATTGCCGCTGGTGAGGCTGGTGTCACAGGCTGGTGGCAAACTTGCTTCTGCAGTCTCTCCCACTCACTTCAGACGGACTCAGCTGTGTAACTTCAATAGTCATTTAAGTTGTTAAGGCCACCACAGCTGACTTGGCCTGAAGCAAGTTAGAGGATCATCGCACAGGCTGCTCTGCTCAGAGATGAGTGGAGGCTTCAGTGGAAGGTTTGCAGCAAGAAGCTGGAGATGGTGATCATTTCCTTTGAAAAAGCCGGATCTAGAAAAGGGCCGGGTTGCTAACCATAGAATATTATCAAGATAAAAGCATTATGTTGTGACCTTTAGTGTGGGTGTATATGTATGTGTGTGTGTATGTATGTGTGAAACCTGATATGAAAAAGCCACATAGTCTGTAAAGAGAAACAGGAAAACTAAACCAAAATCTATCCTTGGAAACATTCCCATCATGTCTGTAAAAACTTCATTTCACAATATAGTGGAAGGAGGTCTCTATGATGTTGGTTACCCAAACACTTCTTTCTGTTTCCTTTTTGCTGTTATATTTTATCAAGTATTTCAGGGTATTTCAAGGTAGAACGTAACTTGAATGAAAGAAACCTGTGCTTTCTTTTTAGGAAGTGGCTTTTGTTGGTCTAACAGAGGAGACTGAGAGTCAGAAGATTGATTTATATTTCGGTCCCTCATATTTATCTACTTATCTATCGGATTATTCTAAGCAAATAATTTCATTATATGCCTTTGTTTTCTCAAAGTATAAAATGTGTGTTCATCTGTGGGGCATTTCATGTTCTGTGGATGAATAATGTCATGCAGGAACATATTTACTCGTAAAAAAATAAAAATGTCTAGTTAAGTTTTTAAAACCACACAGACAGTATGTGGATGTAATTTAACTCTTCAGTCAAATAACTGGTATATTTGTTTCCAAAACTCTGAGGCCTAGATTATGGAGAATTCTAAAAAGATGATATTTTCTGCAAATACTAATATAAAGTTAGAGTCTTTCCTGTCCTACTCTCTGGCAGATGTTTCTATAACAGAACCTCCAGCAGAGTACCCATGATGGTGGGTTTGGTTTGTTTTTTTTTTCAGGCCTGATATTCTGGAGTCCTAGCCCCTATTCCCTTTATCAGAAAACATTTTGATGTACAAGTTCATATATGGGACATGGATGATTGGACAATTGGGTTTTAACATAATTTCTCTGAAGGGTCATTGAAGTCTCCTAGCTACATTTTCGGGTATACTTTTGCTAGAAAAGTTGTTACAGAAAGCCATGCAAGTGTAACAATGCCAGCTCAGTAATGAGTAAGCATATCCGGAGTAATATGCTCTCTGCAACCTATGGAAACAAAGTTGGGGGAGTGGGAGTTTTTAAATCTTGTGTCATTGTCCTGTCCTGCAGGAAGAACTCATAAATAATTTTCTTAATTGTGTGCACCCCAGTCAATGAACACTTTGTGAGGCAAGTATGACAAAGCTTCTGTTTCTGTTGCAGGGTCATACTGGGGAGAGATACTTACAGGTAATATGCTGCTTTCTGAGTGACAACAAACTCCACACTGTTCATTTAAGTGTTATCATAATTGCCTCTCTAAAGGTTACTAATCCTGTTCCGAATAATTTTTTTAAACTAGTTTTCTGCTTCAGGCAAAACGTGCATGTGTCCTTTTAATTCAGTCTGTACAACTAGGAATAAATATATATTTATAAATATTCCAGGTGCCCAGAATGAATTAAGACACACATAAATATTTACCAACGTAGGCATTCAGAAGGCAATAAGAAACTGGTTTTTTTGCTTTATCTTAGTAAATAAGTAATTCCCTCATAGTCAACCCAATAGAAGAAAATCAAATCAGACCAGCTATATTGCCTCAAGTGTAGTTAAGTTCATCATTTTTGCTAAGGTTATAGTGGTAATGCAATATACCATGGAAGAATCTAATATTCAGCCCAGGGTGAAGATTGGGTATGCCAGAGGATTAGTGTCAGGGTGCTTTATAGAAGTGAAACTTGATGGACAGGCTGGAGACAGATCTACAGAATCTCATTAAATTGCTGAATTGTTCATTACTGAGCACTCTCACTGTAATAAAGTGCTCATTGACTTTGACAAATCCCCCTCCCATGTCTTCAGGAAGAACAGCAAAGCAAGAGGTGTTGGGGAAGCTGGAGGAAATTGGCACAAAGTGGGGCAGATAATAGAAAAGCTGATGGGGGGATGCTATCGTTTGATTTGTCTGTCTTACCTGTGACTAGTGTGGCCTTCTGCTCACACACATGCACGCGTGTTATGGCAATATGAATTCACCGTGTCCCCGAGGCACCTTTACTAGTAGGGCTCCAGTGAAGCCCTAAGCACAAATTAAAGCTTCCCTCAGAGAACCTCTAGGAAGGGTGCCACTGTCTGCAGAGCACGGTTATTTTCACCGGTTGAAATTCCCCATGTCCACTGGGCGATTCCATCCTCATGCACATAAAGATTAAGGCAGTTATTTTAATGCATCAAAATGTGTACACAGAGTGATGCTTGAATGTGATTTAAACTGGACTGACTGCAGCTCCTATCTGTCACGTTTTGGATTTTTGTTAGACTACCAATTAATAATTGCCCAATTTTAGTGAGTATGGTGAAGTCTAACCTTGAAAAAAGCAAGTTTGAGAAAGTTAAATAGTAATATTAATGTCAGTATACGAGCATGTGGGCTAATGTAGAATACTGGATTAATTCCTGTTGATTCTTTCCAAAAGAAAAATGTGACTTCCAGACCAGGGTAGAGTGGACAAACTAAGTAGTTAATTCCTTTTTCTACTTATTAAATTCTTATGAAACTCTTTGGCTTGATGTAAGTGTCCTATTTTTAGCAGAGACAATAGACAAGGAATATCATGTTCTATTTCTTAAAACAAATAAACAACAAAAAAGAAAGCCCACCAGAAAACATCTGTAGGTTGTGAAATTGGAGCAATTTACTAGCCTCCATCATTAGATTTTTTTTTTTTTTTTTAGCCAAGCTAAGCCAGTAACAATGATTACAAGTTGTCATAGGATTTGGTTTCATATTGAGTATTTACATTTTACTAGCATGTGAGATCATGAAATATTATTTTGTATATATGAAACTTATGATTTTTTAGTTGCATTAAACTGCGAATAAACTTAAAGCAGTGACATGGAAGACAGGATTAAATAAAAAAACTGAAGGAAGACAAGGATGAATCCTGAAGAAATTGGAGGAAAAAAATCAATTTCTTCTGGTATTTTGCCTCTTCAGCTTGGGCTGTGCAGCATGTTGGTTTTTTCTTTTTTTCACAGGAAATGGTCATGATGAGGACATAAACTTCTCATAATTGGCCATTACTAGAAAGGCTCATTGGCTCTACTTTAAGGAAGCAGATGAATTCTTTCCCTTGATAATTGAAAAGGTAACCAACCCTGTAGGACAAAATGTGTTCTCAGAGAAATCTAGCAGTAGAGGGCTTCTCATTGGAACCTTAGCAAGTAGAAAGCAAGCCAAAGATTTAAGTAAAAATCTGATCTTAGCTTTAGCTGTCATATAGTTACGCCTTCTCATATTCAGGATTGAAAACTCGAGTGTTATGGAGTTTGAATGTTCATATTTCAAGGATCATACTAATACAGATAGAAATATCCACTGGATCATTCTGTCTCCCAGCAGTACGTTGATCAAAAGATACTGCATTAAGTGCTGCACTTGATCCACGGTGAACTCTCAGGTCACACTTGGCAAAAAATCTTAACATGAGATCGGTATAGATTAGTTACTTCATTCTCTGCTATTGGTTAAGCAGGATGTTAAAGGATATAAATTTTTAAAACAGCTAACACTAAAAATAGATCAATTCTAGTCTTTGCCAGTACTACTTCTGATGTTACGTCTGAGCAGGTTTTTTTTCTTGGGTTTTTGCTTTGCCATGCAACTCAGTTTCTCAGTAATCAACTGTTAAGCAAGCAATCTAGGACAAATTGGTAGATAAAACTGCATGAGTAGTTTATTCAGCTAGAAAGCATGCAACTATGTGGTGTGTTTTCCAGGACAAGGCTCCCAAGACATTGCAGCCCTGTTAACTTCCCTGTGTGCAGCTCGTGATCTTGTGTTCATAAAGGAGTTGTTTCACATATGAAAGTCTAGCACTAGTTATTCATTTTGTTACTGTGGATGTGATGTGCAAAATCAGTCTTTGGCCTCTGCAGTAGAGAAGTGTCTTTGCTTGAATAAACAAAAAAGTAAAAGTCATGAACACTACAGTGTTACAGGTCAATATGAGTTGTTAAGCATCTATTTTATAAAAACAAATGTACAAATCTAATTTTCTTATTACAATCCTGTTTATCCTTTTCTACGTGAGAGTGTGGTGCCCCATTTTCAACTGTCTTTTCTTATGCTTGAGCTCCATTTTGAATCTCCTGCTGGCATTTTTGGAGGGCCAGAAGTATTCTCCAGCAGAAATCCCAGAGTTCAGCACTGTAGGAAATTTTGCAGTGTATGCATTACAGCAGGCTGTTATGATGGAACAGTTCTCTGCTGAATACAGGGCCACAGACATCTTCCATGCGTCGCCAGTGATACCCCCATTTTCCTATGCAGAACAGCAGTTTCTAAAGTGGGTTGTCATGTCCTAGTACAAGCCTGCCGTTCCGTCAGTGTAGTACTTGATTTTATATTTTTTTTTTGTCAGTCTTTTGATTCTACAGAGCAATTTTTAATATGGAGAGAGCAAAATTCATGTCTCTTGGGGGTATATATATATATGTTTTGATGAAATGTGGACTAAGTGTCTTTCTAAACGTGAACTTAAGTTTTACTGCAAAACAAGTAATGACAGAAAATAGTAAACAAAGGAGAGCATCTCAGTAATCAATGTTGTGTTTAAATAGTATATTGGCCTTTCACTGTTCAAGAAATAAGCTTAAGTGCTCTCTTGGGCAGTAAGTGAAAATACGTCTGGTGGCCTAATGCTCGTCCCTGGCGAGTGTTTACCCTAAGTAGAAAGCCACCACACAAAAATGTGGCTGTCAGCCTCTCGTCCAGAGGCATAAGAGAGAAAAAAGGAGTTTGATGCATATCAAGGCCGAGATAAGTTGATGAGGCTGTATGGGAAAATTAGCATATTGCCCATGCATGTTTTACTGTGTTTTCATGCCCTTTTTAGCACCCTTTTACTGAGTAGTTTACATAAAAGTGCCAAAGAGCCACCTTTGAATCCCAGTGTCCACTGTGCCGGACCACTGTGCATCATGACTTGCTGCAAACAAGGTTACATAGTTACCCTCGTAAAAATAGTGTGAAAACATAACCTGTGGTAGATAGCATGTAGGTTTCCTTTTCCCAAGGCTGATCTTCATAATCACAGCTATCTCACCTGAATTGCCTGTGTGTGGTGGTAGTGTTCCTTAAGGTCTCTCCAGACTCCCTGTGTGGGATTAATTTTTATAAACATAGGTATGTGAAGCTTTTTTGGTAGGGTATCCGTTATATATATAGGCCCAACTGGCAGCTGTGGCACAGGATCTGCAGGAAGATCAGTGTCCACTGAAGCTAGACAGGGTTCTTGCAGGCTGCAGTGGAGCGGGGTCAGTGGATGCAGGCAGCAGAATCTCACACTGCTGCTCTGCTCAGGTCACGCACGTTTTTCCTGGTACGATTTCTGCATCGTTTGTAATAGTAATGGCACCTTGGCTTACAGTGAAAATGAACGCTGCCCCTCTTGGCATTGTCCCCTTACTTTATGAAACACCTTCCCTCTTTGTCTGCCTAAGCTTAAACCTAATGGGCTCTTAATCTTGTCCTTTACCGTAAAGTTTTGTGAACTCTGTATATGCTTTTGTTCCGAACTTTTGAAAGTTTGTCTGTTGTTTCTTGAGTGTTAGCTAATCTTGTTACAGTTATTCATCAAGTATAGATATATATAAAGGGATTTTCTATATTAAAACTACATTTTTGTTAGGAATAACTGTGTGTTCTTCTAATTTTCTTTCTGATACATGTCAGTTCTAATCAGAAAACTCGATTATTTTGCTGCTATTGCTGTGAGCAGTAGATATTTATCGGAGGGCATTACTTTTGCCTCAGTGTCCTGCAGTAATATCACATCACCTTATTTATCTCAGATTAACTTCAGGACTGCACAGAGCATCGCACCAGTATTTAGGAAGGCTGCTGTGCCCACAGCTCTGGAATTTAGGTCACTTCATCAGCTAAGCAATGGATGTGCGTTTTGATTTAGAAAGCCAAAAAAGGACACCAAGGTGTGCACACAGCAAGACCACGTCTGTGATACTGCATTCTGCATTTGAATTAGTCTATTATGGTGGAGGTTGTGTTGACTGTTATGTTCTTTGTGGCACTGACCTACTGGAGATTGACTGAAGTATAATTGTATTAATATGCACGTGTACGGTTACAAAAAATAAAGTTGCTCAGGGTGTTGTGAAAGCCAGGCATGGTTGGAAATAGACATAAGTTTCATTTTTAAGTTAAATAAAAGAACAATATAAAT